CTACCCCTCCTCCGCCCCCCGACCCTCTTCCCATCTTTTTGCTCTCCATCCCTCTGTTGTCCAGACAGACTTCTCTGTCGGCGAGGATGGAGACGTTCACCGATGGAAGCTCCGGTAAATCCTCCACACCGGTCTGTCTGTCTGTCTGTCTGTCTGTCTGTGTGTGTGTGAGAGAGAGAGTGTGTGTGTGTGGCAGTAAAGTGCTCAGTTGTTTGTAGCCGGAACTTATTTTCCTCCTTCCCTCACTCACTCACTCACTCTCTCTCTCTGTTCTGTCCCGTTGTGGAGTCGGATCTTCTGGACTCATTGTTGCGGCTGAAGCCTGCCGTCCTGTGGAGCAGTGGGTTGTTGGTGTTCGACAGAAACTCTCCTCCTGATCATTGATATTAGTGGGGTGAGGGTGAGGGTGAGGGTTGGACTCTCTCTATTGATTAGAAAGACATTGATTCACGGGGACACTCCTTGTCACTCCTGCCGCTTCTACCCTCCCTCTCTCTCTCCCTCCTCTCTCTCCCCCCTCTCTCTCCCCCCCCCCCTGCTCCGTGGACGAATCATCTTCTGTCTCTCCTTCTGCTCTGCATGTTGTAGATGAGCGCGGGAATATTTGATCTGGTCCAGTCTGTGGTGAGGGCTGCAGGGACTGGAGTCGAGTCGTAGCTCTGCTTTAACTTCATCTTCATCTTCATCATCTTCATCTTCATCTTCTTTCACTGATCATTTGTTCCTGACGCCTGGTGTCATGACGGTCCATCTTTATTTTAGTCGGTACCGACCAGTCCAGTCGAACCGGTACAAACACGTGGTCAACAGACACAGAGGAGCGGTCTGTCCTGGTTCATCTTCATCACCATCTTCATCATCATCTCCTCAGCCTCAGTGTTCTGGCCTCTGGCCTGGTCTCTGGCCTGGTCTCTGGCCGAACCTCAGCTCCGTTTCCCGGTGCTGTCCGTTCACCGCTCTGAGCTTTTGTTTTTCTTTTCTTTCTCTCTCCCGTCACTGTTGTCTACAGCCGCGGCCGCCGCGCACTAACACCCGGCTCGATGAGGGCTGATCGGCTGCAGAAGGGAAATCGATGGACACACTGTGTTAATTATTAGAAAATCAATTAAGAGGAGGGGGATCGAGGGCTTTATAAGGCCGAGCAGGGAGAGAGAGGAGCAGAGAGGAGCAGAGAGGAGAGGAGAGAAGAGGAGAGAGGAGAGAGGAGAGGAGAGAAGAGGAGAGAGGAGAGAGGAGAGGAGAGGGGAGAGGAGAGAGGAGAGAGAGGAGAGGAGAGAGGAGAGGAGCAGAGAGGAGAGGAGAGAAGAGGAGAGAGGAGAGAGGAGAGAGGAGAGAGGAGAGAGGAGAGAGGAGAGAGGAGAGAGGAGAGAGGAGAGAGGAGAGAGGAGAGGAGAGAGCTCCGGTGGTCGCCTCCTTCCCCCGGAGCTCCTCTGTTCCTCTGAGACCGTTCAAAACGACATAAACGTGCCGTGATGTCCCGTAGTCCCGGCATCCATCTGTACACACACACACACACACACACACACACACACACACACACACCCCGTCTCTGTGCCAAACGTATTTATTTGTTACTATTTAAATGGTTAAATGTTGGTTTAATTGAACAGACAGTTCTGCTGGTGACTGTTTAAATGCTGCTGGTCCTGGTTCTGGTCCTGGTCCTGGTCCTGGTCCTGTGGTTCTGTGGTTCTGTGGTTCTGTGTGTGAAGTCCAGTTGTGGACTAATTAAAATATTTGGTTCAATTGAAACATTAGAAAAGTCAATGACGTCACCACAGAATTGTCGGTCTCTTATTACCTCATTATGAGGTGTATGTAGGTACTACAGTAGTAGTAGTAGTAGTAGTAGTAGTAGTAGTAGTAGTATTAGTAGTAGTAGTAGTAGTATTAGTAGTAGTAGTACACCCCATGTAGGACGCGGGTTCTGACTGATCTACAAAGTCCAGTATTTATAAATACTTTTCTTTCTTGTCAAACTGATTAAATTCAGTTCATAAATATACGACTGCTAAATACTGCCCCCCCCCACACCCTCACACTGCCGCGGCCCCCCCCCACCACCCTTCCCTCTCTCAATATGTTTTTCTTGTTGTGAGTGTGTGTGTGTGTGTGTGTGTGTGTTCTTCGTCCAATCTTTATTCTTTGATTTCAAATATTTTTGGTCGATTCACCGAAACATTGAATCGATTCCTGCTCGGTGTTTCTTTGACACGTCAACACCAGAGGACGTGTTATTCATTTATTGTTTAATTTTATTGTTTTATTATTTTACTGTCCCTGCATCAGAACCAGGTGTTTTATTTGAACTGACTGTCGGTTTGACGTTGGCACAACCGACAGTCAGGGGTTGGGGGGGGGGGCTTTATTTTAACAAACATTCACAGATATAAAATAATAATAATTAATATGAACTAAATATTATTTGCTGATGTGTTCATGTTTGTTTATATTCAGATTAAACCAAATATTATTCATT